ATCAGGAATAAGCTCCGGTTAAGCTGCCGGGCCCACTGTTCCCCTGGCTCCAAATCTCCTAGGGACCCTTAGAGTTTCAGAGGAAGTAAAAAATGTGTGCCCCAGACGGACATGGGCGTGCTTCAGAGTGAGCTGGCTCTGAGTCTTTGTCCTGGGGACTTTGTAACTTTTTTCGTGAGTGTGATTCTTAGGACACAGTTTCAGCCAAAGATTCATCAGCTTTCCAGGTGTGTTTTTAGGGCACTAGTGTGTCGGAATGAGCTCATGGGGGTGTTTTGGGAGCACTCCTTGGTCTGTTACACTGCTTTACTTTTGATTCTGTCTGAGTTTGGTGGCGTTTTTGTTGTGTCTGGCCGAGCGTCATCCATCCTGCGTTGAGCTGGCAGGAATGACATTACTTGGATCTCTGTTCTCCATCCCAGACCAGGGAGAGTTAAGCTTTGCTCTCGTTGCACAGGGAGGAGAGGTAGGAACCTTTCACTGCCCTAACCTTAACTCCTTGGTTAGGGCAGACGAGTTCTCAGGACTCACCAGGGGGCTGATCTGAGCAGCTCAAACCGTTTGGCCTTGTTTAATTTCCTCGCCCAGGAGTTTCCCCATCTTTTTACCGTCTGGCCTCAGGGACCCAGCTGGGACCCGCTGCCATGGAAACGCTCTCCGGAGGCCACACTGGAGTCTGGGTTTTACTGAGAGCCCTTGGCTGGGGGACTGGCAAACCCTGACTGGTCCTGAGAAGGGGTGAGGTTTTCCGGGGCTCGCCTCCCACCACTGGCCAGGTTCCTTTCCTTGTGTTGTGTCCTTACCCCGGGGGTACCGGTGAGGCCGGTGAGGCTTGTTCTCCGACACTGGGTGAAACCGGGCTTGGTGACGACTTTCCCACCCCGGGCGCTGCCCTCTGGCTCCGGGGCAGAATTCCAACGCCCAGGGCTGGGTTCAGAGCTGGTGCTGGATGCCCAGGAGGACTTCCGCCTTGGCAGCCTGAACGTGTCCGTTCCTGTCCGTGGCAGTCTGGAAAGTTCTTCTTCAGTGACTTCATTAGTGTTTAATGAGACAAGAAGTATTTCCTTAATGAGACATTAAATAATACAGACATATCTCCTGGGAAAGTTTTGGGTCTCTCTCACCACCAAGCCTGCCCCGCCCATCTCTAATTTCCCTCTTCTGTAAAAAAGGAAGTAGTTGGTGTTTCATTTTTTCCCATCACTTTATTTATTTGTTCATTTTTGACTAATATTAATTGAGCTCCTGCTGGTGGTGGGCTTGCGCTAAGGCCCCGGGGTACTAATTTGAGCAAGGTGCACGGGGCTCCCCACCTCAAGGGGACTGTGTCAGGGGGGAGGGACACAGGAGGGACATGAGAAAATGTGGCAGTGGGTGAGATCATTTCAGCGAAGGCCACCACTCAGGGAATACCACGGGCGTTCTCCTGGAGGCTGATGGCTGGTGGGCAGCGATTTTAACAGGCTGTGCAGAGCTTGGGACTTCTATCCTGAGACAGAAGAGCCGAGAAAGGGTTGGCCCCGGGAGGACCTTGGGCGGTCCTGAGGCAGGAGGGCAGCAGAAAAGGGGCGTGGGCCTGAAGAGCAAGGCGTGGGAACACGGAGGTTGCGGGGCTTGGTCAAGGGCAGGCTTAGGTTTAAAAAGAAGTCCAAGACTCTATGTGGGCAATGAATAAAGGCAAAAGAGTGGGCACTGGAAGGTTCTTCCATCATCCCAGCGAGAGGTGGTGGTGGAGACCGTGGGGACCGAGGTGCCCGGCCACATGGGGTGGGTTTAGGGGCAGCGAGGGGGGAAGGCTTGGCTGCGGTTTGGAGATTAAGAAGAGGAGTCAGGGTGAGTCCTGGGATCTGGGCTCCAGCGCCCTGCTCGAGGGTGGAACGGAAGTACCCTCTGTGCACTTTGGGGAATCCCAGAAAACCAGTTCGAGGGGAAAATGCCCCACAAGGACTTCTATTCAGGAAGGTCAAGGTGTAGCGCCCATCAGATGTCCAGGAGCAGATGTCTGTCTGGTAGGAAGCTGGTGTCCACGGGCTGAGCTGGGGGAAGCAGCAGGACTGAGATCCAGGGCCCTGGGCTGTGGGCGGGAGTGGGGTGCAGGAGGGCAGGCTGAGGCTCTTAGGGGGATGGTGGGAGACCTCGGGAGTGCCTCCATCCAGGAGAAGGGGAGGAGCTAGGGAAGGAGCAGTAGCAGGAGCAAAATCAAGGGACAAGGGTGTCACCAGCAACTGGCGAGGAGAGCATCTGTAGATGGTGGCTGTGCTCAATATGCCACTTGGTGTTGGGTGAGGGGTAAGATGAGGACTGAAAACGATTCCCTTCCACTGGCAACGTGGGGGGTCATTGGTGACCATGTCAATGGCCACTTTTCTGGAGCCATGGTCATGAGATGAAAGCAGACAGGATGCAGGGAATAAGGGACAAAACTTGTAGACACTCGAAACCCTTCTTTCAGTGAAGGGATGCCTTACTGTCCTCAGAAGCAAACGGACGGAGATTTGACTCAAGGGAGAGTTTTGTTTGTGAAAGTGGGAGACACCTGCCGGCAGCGAGGGTCAAGCAGGGACCACGGCAGGGTGGGCAACTACAGAGGAGAGACCCCCAAAGGGAGGAGGCCTGAGCCCGGGGCACAGACCGAAGGTCGCACTGTGACTGCACCGAGAGGCTACGCAGACCACAGGCCACCAGTCAGGAGTGTGACGTCTTGCTCAGTGCGTGCCGACCGGCCCCCGGAAGAACCCCTAGTGCACAGGTGGTAGCAACTCGCGTGTTGAGCCAGTGAATGTGGCGCAAGCGGAGGTCGGTTCCTGGATGTACAGGCTCAGGGGAGGCTGGCTGGGTCGCTGGCTGGGGGCCAAGAGGGTCAACGGGAGCGGAGTGGGGGGTCCGACTCACTTCCCCATGGGACATTGGCAGCACCTCGTCCAGTTGAAAACACCCACAGAACAGTGGCTCACCTGTCCCCACGAAGGGCAGCTCCACCTTCGTCATCAGCTAAGCTCCCAGAGAGCCTGTACGAGAGTTTCAGTCCCTGGCTGACGCCACGCGCTTTTGATGCCGGTGGCTGTGTGGACTTTCTGGTTTGCATTGTGTTGCAGGAACCGCTTCACTTCCTCATTTCTTCTTCACGCTTCACGTTTAACCTCATGGAGCCTGTCATTTGCACTGAAATATTCTTTTCTTCTCATGGAAAAAAATAACTCCCAAAGCTGAGAACAATCATGATGAGTCTGTTTGTATTTGATCTGCATTTTCAGGTGTGAATTCCTTTGGGATAATAATATACTTCATGTCTTTTTGGAACATTTTTACTTCATTGAAAGTATGTGCTTTGTCCCACCAGTAGATGAGTAGATAAAAAAAATGTGGCACGTTTACTCGATGGGTCACTACCTGTCTGTAAAAAAAGAAGAAAATGTTACGTTTTGCGACAGCGTGGATGGACCTGGAGTTATAGTGTGAAATAAGCCAGTCAGAGAAAGACAAATACCATATGTCTTCACTCATATGTGGAATCTAATGAACAAAATAAACTGATGAACAAAATGGAAACAGAGGCCTGGGCACATGGAACAGACTGACAGCTGTCGGACGGGAGGGGGGGGCGGGACTGGATGAAGGAGAAGGGATTAGTCAAAGGGACTCAGACGAAAGGTGGTGATGGCCAGAGGGAGTGGGGAGGGTGGAACGGGAGGATGAGGAAAAGGGGAGGAAATAGGGACATTTGCATTAGTGTCAGCAATAAAAATGAAGTTAAATATGTAGGTTTTGTAAGTCTTTCATTTTTCCATTTTTATTGTAGTGTAACTTATAATTAAGTGCAGGTCTTAAGTTTCCAGGTAAAATAACTATCGCCCAGACTGAGTGGGGCTGGTCACAGAAACCCGCATGGGGGTCCCTCGTGTCCCCTCCCCGCTGATCCCCCTCCAGAGGGAAGCCGTCTTAATGCATCTGTTGTCACAGGTTGATTTGAGCCTGGCTTTGAACTTCCTAGATGCGGAATCAGACAGTATGAATTCTTTAGGTGGGACTTGCTTCATTCCGTGTTGTATTTGTGGAATTCACCTGAGGTTCCCAGGAGGCCGACGCTGCTGTGAGATGGAGGAGAAAAAGTCTTCGACCAGAGCGGGGCGGGCCAGCTCTGCAGGGAAGGGCACGAGACCCCGGGTGGGGAGCACCGGGCCTGCAGGTGGTGGTCTAAGAGGAGCCTGGATGGATGGTCTGTGGGACACAGGGGCATCCCTTTGGGGACAAACACGTCCAGCTAGGGCTCAGGACACCTGAGCCTGGAACACAGGGTCCCCACATTTGACATGACATGGAGGTGGAGAGAAAAACATGGTGGCCATTATGAGGCTGTGCAGGTGCTGGGTCCTCCCACCCCAGCACGGTCCTGGGGAGCCCTGATCCCTCCGGGAGCCTTTCTAGACCCCCTGGGTAATGGGCTGGGAACGCTTCCTGTCCCATCTCCTGTCCTTTCGTGGTGGCCTCCTCGGGAGAGCTCAGCACAGGATGGTCGCTCTCCCCTCCCCTCCTGGACCGAGGACAAAGCCGGGTGCTGCCTCCCAGAGCAGAGCCTCCATCCTGGCTGAGGCCCCGCAGGGCCCCCCTCCAGTGGGACCTTGGCCAGCCCTGCACTGGCTGCTGGGGACACTCAGGGGCGGCGCCCGGGGCCCGTCCTCCGGGGGTCTGGGTCCTGTGCCTGTCTCTCCTCAGGGTGTGAACCGTTGTCCCGTCCCCTGCCCTCGCAGGTGTGTCTTGCTGCACCATGCTGCCCAGAGTGACCACAGCCTCCTCAGACGTCAGTGGCCCAGGGGCAGTCCCCATGGCTTCCACGTGTGGCCTTTGTCAAAACAGAGAAACCAAAACTTAACACGTCTCCATGGGCAAGGAGGTGACTCCTTCTAGTGTGCTCCATGTGGGTGGCATGAGTAGCTTGAGTTCAGGGAAGGGGTGGGGCAGAGTACTGCCAAGTCACCAGTATCTGGGTGCTCTGATGGCATATAAGACACTCGAGTCCTTGGAAGTGTCCCAGCAAGAGGACACAGGCTGCAACCAGGCAGACAAGTGAAGGACGAAGAGCCAGAGACCGTGAAGGAACTCAGACATGGAGACCGGCCCCGCGCCCCTGGACAGGTACTGCCCACCCCTTGAAGCACCTCGACTTCTGAGCCCTTCCTCCAGGCTCCCTGATGGCGCAAACCTTCTCCCCTGGGGACACCTCTGCTTCTTCACCTCCCTCCCCGCTCTGCCCAGCCAGGACCCCTCAGTGGATGTCCACTTTGCTGTCCCACCGCCCCCCGAGGCCCTGGTGCCAGACACAGGGGAGTCACCCTTGAAGTCCCTGCTCTTCCTCTCCCTCCATCCCCTGTGAGGCCTCTTCCTGCTCTGAACTGTGGGCCAGGAGGTCACGTTCAGATTTCTGTTTCTGTTTGTGTAAAGGGCATCATCGCTTTCATAATCACAAAGAAAATATCATGAATTACATGAGAAGAAGACGCCATTGGCGTCCCCTTTCCCGACAGTCCCACTCGGGAATGCGCTTGGCCCACGAAGCCCCACGTGGCTCAGGTTCAGCCTGAAGACCGGGGGGACACAGTCCACTGGGCCCACACCTGCAATGGGTGGGTCAGCGGGTCAAGGGCAGGATGGTGATGCCAGGAGAGGGGACCCAGCCCACTCGGGGCACAAAGACTGGTCCTGATCAGAGCTCTGAGAACCCCCCGCTGCTCCTGGGGGGCCCTGACAAAGGCACAGGCTGACAGCCCCAGGGGCCTGGAAGGGGTCGCAGAGGGAGGCGAGGTGACTGCAGCTCAGGAGCGGACCCCCTCCTCGATGGGTCCGGCTGGGACGTGGGTGCCGGGGGAGCCCAGGGTGAAGGGGTGGGGATGTGCAGAGAAGGGCAGGAGAACTGGGGGTCCCCGGAGGGGAGCCCATGCCTGTGGGTTTTTCCCGCCTATGTCCACAGACCCCGGATGGATATGGCCACCTTCACTGAGAACTTTAGTCCACAAATGCTGAAAGAAACACACCTGTGCTACGAGTGGGACGTGCCAGAAGGTGACTCCAGGATCCCAGTGGACCAGATGAAGGGCTTCCTGCGCAACAAGGTGACAGACCACAGCGGGCAGGGCCGCCTGCCCTGGGACATTCAGGGAGAAGGTTACCGGGGGCAGCAGGTGTCCTCTCAGCATTGTCCTTTGGTCCCCCAGCTTCTGTCACTTGCTTGGAGACACGGAGGACCAATGCTGCAGTGACAGTCAGCTTTGAGCCGTACGGAATAGAGGAAGTCCCAGTGTCCCAGGGCTTCCTCTGTCCCCTCCTGCTGAACCTCAGAGGAGGGGTCCAGACAAAGGGAAAGACCTTTGGACACGGGGCCAGGCTCCCCCTGTCCCTGCCTGGGGCAGCCTCTGGCCAGAGAGAGCTGGAGAGCAGCCTGGTGCTCCCTCCAGTCACTGCATGGAGCCCCGGGCAGGGTGCTGGTCCCCACAGCTGCCTTGCTGGCTGCACTGAGCCCAGGGACGCCTGCTGGGTCCCCAGGGGCCCACACACTACCACTGGGGCTGAGCACTGCCAGCATGGGCAGGACTTGTGCCCTCACTGAGGCCCTGGTCCATAATCCTTCTGTCTGCAGTTGCAAAAGTAGCCATGAGCCTAAGAGCCTCAACAGTGACACTGCCCCGTTTCCTGGGCACCTGTGCCTCGGTGGCCCTCACCCCTCTCTCCCTCAGGAGGGGAAACCCACAGTAGGGACTGAAGTGCTGGTTGCGGGCAGGGAGGGCGAGGTCGGGCAGTGGCTGGACAGCAGGGTGCGCCCCTCCCTGGAGGAAGCAGCCCTCTCTGCGCCATCACACTGGTGACCTTGGGGCTCGCGGGCCTCCACCCTCTGTCTTCAGCTCTTCCTGTGGTCCCCTGGGGCCCGACACAGGGGAGGCTCCTGGAGGCGTGGACCTCAGGCACAAACAGAGGGGCTCTAGGAAGGCAGTGGTGCAGAGGAGTCACGTTACACAGTCGTCTCACCCCGGAACTCACGCGAGTGTAAACTCACGCGGAACTCACGCAGAACTCACGCGAGACAGTGTAAAGGGAGGCGGGTCGAGTGCAGGGCCGTGGGGAGCCAGGGTTGGCTGACGTGGACTGACAGGTCCTCACTGCTGGGTGGGCTTTTGTCACGTGCCCATGTCGTGTGCATGGACAGTTTGGCCTTGTGAGCCCTGTGTGGAGATGTCACCCTCTCGGTGGGGAGCTGGCCTCCCCTCTGCCTCCCTCCCTGGCCCCGCCCTGCTCCTGTTCACAGCAGGTGACAGACTCTTTCCTCCCTCTTCTGTGCCCAGGGTGCTGACACACGGGGGAGGCCCGCCATGCAGAGCTGTGCTTCCTGGATCTGATCCCTTCCTGGGGCCTGGACAAGAACGAGCACTACAGCGTCACCTTGTTCATCTCCTGGAGCCCCTGCCCTGACTGTGCCCGCAGCCTGGTGGCTTTCCTGCGCGAGAACGGCCACCTGAGCCTGCGCATCTTTGCCGCCCGCATCTATAGCAAAAACTGGGGTTATGAAGACGGACAGCGCCAACTGCAGGCGGCTGGGGCCGAAGTCTCCATCATGAGCATCGATGGTCAGCAAGGACTCGTGGGAGTGGGAAGTGGGCAGGGGGAGGCCTGAGGGAAGCTGCTAGAAGGAGGTGGTCAAGATGACAACCCCTGGTGGAGAAGCCTGTCGCAGCTGCCTGCAGAGGGGGAGTTGGACTCGAGAGGACAGGGGCGTCTCCTGGTGAAGAGAGTTCTGGGGACAGACGTGGTCCTGGTCCTGGGCAGGGAGGGAGGCTGGGAACATGTGCAGTGGGGACCCAGGGACTTCGGAGTAGAAGGGGACGGCCCAGCCTCATGTTCCCCTGGGGGGGAACAGCTACGTCCCTTGGAGGAAAGGGAAAGGAAACAGTGGAACAATGATGGGCACAGTGTGTCCCTAGGGGTCAGACACCACGTGGCCCCTCCCTGCTCCCTAGACCTGGGGTCACCTCTCTGTCCCTGCTCCCTTCAGAGTACCAGCACTGCTGGGAAGCCTTCGTGGACCACCAGGGAGGACCATTCCAGCCCCACCCCAAGCTGCACAAACACATTGAAGAAGAGTCACAGAGGCTGGAGGGAATCCTCAGGGCGAGGTCCCCTCCCTGCTCTCCCCCTGCTCCCCTCCCTCCTCACCTTCTCTCCCTGGTGAGTTATTTCCCTCTGCTCAGGCCTCCTCTGTGTCACCTGCTCCCTCCTGGGACACCAGCCCCATCCCTCCGGTCCCTTCTCACAAGGCCCCTCTGCTCTCCCACGTCCGTGTGTCCCTCCGTCCTTCCCCATCCCTGTAGAGCCCCGACCTCTTCTCTGTTCCTCTTTCCACCTGCTACGCTCCCCACACCCTTCAACCTGCTTCTCCGTCCAGATTCAGGGGGAACCGAAAATGAACTCAACGTCTCTGAACGAGTCAGTTGTCTTCTGAGGAGACGACGATAAAACACCTTCCAAGGAAGAAAACTCACCTTTGCCACCAACTCCACAGTGATCCGAAGACACCGGCAAAAGTGCGAAGAGCTCATCAGAAATTTGTTTTAATAAATCTGATTGATTTACTTT